AAAAATCAAATAATGAAAATAAAGCTGATAGTAACAATGAGCACAATTATGAAATAGAGATTCCTTATTTATACAGAGTATTAGACAAGGTATATACTATATTTGTATTTAAGACTCTATAAATGCATTTATATTTATATTAAATTCTAATTATTTTTAAGATAAAAGAACTTTTAGAAGAATCATGCAATAAGTCTAAAGGGCATTTATAGTTACAAAATGTTCACTCAAATCTCAAATCACTAGAAAAAATGAATAATGACATTACAGCATTAAATAATCATATAACAATGCCCAGAACGTGGAAGGATTTTAATAAAAATACTATGTACTAGGAATAATAATTTTTTTATATATTATATAGTTGAAATTTTCAATTGCATTCTATTTTTTTTTAAAGCTCTAAAATTTTATCACGCAAAAAAATTTAATTTATCTAAAGTTCAAATATTTTTAGAGCGATAGTAATAATGAAATAAATCTATTAATTTATTTTAGCGTCATAATTGTTTGTGTAATTTGAATAAATTGCCATCCATTATAACCTTTATTGTAATGAAAAAAAATTGTAAAAATAAATTTGATTTAAATTTGCCTAAAAGTATAACCAAAAAAAGAGTATAAATAGGTTAAAAATTTGAGCGCTTCATGTTATTCTTTATTAAAAATAATTTATTTTTTAAAAACTTAAAAGACCATATTTATCGTTCAATAACAATTCATAAATACGCTAAAGGTATTGTCCCAAAATTAAATTGTCCATAATCAAATCCGAATCACATAATCACATGTACCCGGCAGGTCTGTCCTGCTACCATTTTTAGTGGGCGACGCTAGGGTCGTTCCAATCACATTTCTGCTGATCGAATACATTTTTCATGTGATAAAATAATCCAATCAAATAGTACATCTCGTGCCCGGACATATACCGGTTCTCGGTTCTTAGTGTTACACCCGATCCTGAAAGTGATTGGTTAAGTCTATGTGACTGACCCAATACTAACGTAATATCAATTAGATGTTTGGATTTAATACTTTTGGAGTTCGAATACGTAAATTACAAACTCCTCCAATAAGATTTCCTTCGATAACGATAATTTTGCTATTTTAGATCTAACACTTGCATCACGATAATCACGCATTAGTAATACAAGAATACAGTAGTAAAATTTATATAATTGGCGTGAGAATCTGTCATAAAAGTATGTATACGTACGTACGTAAGTTCGTATGTATAAGTATTGATACTTTTTCCCAGTTGTTTTAATCAAAGTTTTGAAGAAAATATGTCTAACACTAAAATTACAAATAAGATTTCAATCGATGATATTGATAATTTAACGGAGAAACGTGTTTTAATTCGGTGCATTAAATTTCTAATTTTAATAAAATTGAAAATTAAGATTTCAAACCAATTGATGAATTTTCATTTTTGATAGCGTTGATTTTAATGTACCATTTCAAGATGGCAAAATATCAAATAATCAACGCATTGTAGCTGCCTTGCCTACTATTAATGAGGCTTTAAAAAAGGGTAATTTTATTACATATATATATGTATTTTATATTTGTTAAATTGGGTTGATTTATTTCGAATTTATTGAGTAATCCTATTTCTCATTCTTTTTTTTATTAGGCGCAAAATGTGTTATTTTGATGTCTCATCTAAACCGTCCAAATGGAAAGCCAAATCCAAAGCATTCACTTAAACCTGTTGCCGATGAGGTTGGTAAATTATTGGGAAGAGAAGTCTTGTTCTTGAATGATTGTGTCGGTCCCGAAGTCACAAAAACTTGTCTTAAGGCCAGTAATGGTAACTTGCATATTTATTTGCAGATAAATTTAGAAGTTTGAGAGTTTCGGATTCATTATCTGTTAATATATTTAATTTCTTTTATAGGGCAAGTGATTTTGCTTGAAAATCTTCGATTCCATATAGAAGAAGAAGGGTCTATTAAAGATGATGATGGAAAGAAAGTACGTTCATTAATTTCCACCAAATTTAAACTATTCATTTATATCATTTTATATTATTGATTTGCAATTTTTTATTTAATTTCAAACAGATCAAAGCATCTCCTGAAGATTTAAACAACTTTCGAACGTCTTTAACAGAACTTGGAGACTTATATGTTAATGATGCATTTGGTACTGCACATCGTGCTCACAGCTCAATGGTTGGTGTAAATTTACCAATTAGAGCTGCAGGACTTTTGTTAAAGAAAGAATTAGAATACTTTGGAAAAGCATTAGAAGATCCGGATCGACCATTTTTGGCAATTCTTGGCGGGTGTGCTGAATATTATTATTATTGTTTCTTTGATAATTTATTAATAGCTCTATTGATTGCTGGAATCTTTTTTATTTGGAAATTTTAGTGCTAAAATTTCTGATAAAATCCAATTAATCAATAATCTTCTCGAGAAGGTTAATTCTATGATTATTGGAGGTAAGATATATTCATTATTTTTATTATTTATTATTAGCTTATTATGTGTCTTTAATAGTTTTGCTAACATTTCATTTATTATGCAGGTGGTATGGTTTTTACCTTCAAAAAAGTTATCAATAATATGGAGGTATCTACATTGCATTACTTTATATTCTATTTATTGGAAATTTTAATAAAATTTTCCTTATCACGCTCTGAACAATTTTATAGATCGGCAACTCGCTCTATGATGAAGAAGGATCTAAAATCGTAAAACAATTAGTTGAAAAGGCAAAATCCCTGAATGTTGAATTGATATTTCCTGTGGATTATATTATTGCAGACAAATTTGATGCAAATGCTAATGTATTTATGTTATATTTAAATCTAAATGCAAGTATTTTTTGAAACTGACTTAATCGATCTTTAAACAGACCGGTACTGCTACAGACGAGACTGGCATTCCAGCAGGATGGCTAGGTTTAGATTCTGGTGAAAAAACCAATGAACTTTTTAAGGCAGCTATTTATAAAGCAAAAACTATTCTCTGGAATGGGTATGTTAATTATCATATATTAAGTTATTAATTCGAAGTTTATATTATAAAATTCTGGATACGGTTTTTTATTTTTATAATCGTGATCTATTTATTTATTTTTGTATACTAATCACCGATTTAAATAGTCCTCCAGGAGTTTTTGAATTTGAAAAATTTTCAAATGGAACAAAAGTAGTATTAGATGCAGTCATCAAGGCTACAGAAAACGGTGCTAAGACTATTGTTGGAGGTGGTGATACTGCAACAGCCGTTGCTAAGTGGGGTGCTGAAGATAAAATTTCACATGTCAGTACCGGCGGTGGTGCTAGTTTGGAGTTGCTTGAAGGTAATTATTCATTTCAATTAGTCTATACGAAATAATTTTTTCGATTTATATAAATTAAATTTTTTGATTTAATTGAAACTGTAGGTAAAGTATTACCCGGTGTTTCTGCCCTTACTGATAAGTCTTAAGAACCGAATTCAAGTTATGCTACATAATTTCAAAGAAGATAAAATGAATGTAATGCGTACATCCATAAAAGGCTTTTTTATTTATTAAAACTTGAGTGATTCCAATTTTTATTTGCTTTTGTGGAATAACCACTATATGACAAAATGTATAGTAGCTGTAATAAATATGACTTGTCAAGACTTATCAAAGTTATTTTTCCCCTTTATGAAATTTTAGTGAATAAAAATTATTTAATGCATTGCCAAGCAATTTGCTCAAAGTAATTGATTCAATTATCGTATGGCTTTGATTTTGTCACACAATTTTTGATATCTTTATGCTTTTCACTTTTTATTTACGGTCTAAAACTAACATTCAAGAATTTTATGATAAGATCAAATAATATTGTATTAAACCAAAAAAAAACCCCCAAATTATAACAATTAGCCATATATTTATTGTCGCGGCTGATGCTGAAATTTGGGGTTCCAATTTTAAAATATAGACCCTGCTAGAATCTACATATACTCTTTAATTATAAATTCTAACCCTAAATCCTAACCTAACTATAAAAAAAAAGCGGTAAAAAAACACCCCAAAAATTTCGTATCAAAATAGGTCCAAATTTCAGCATCAGCCGCGACATTTATTATTTAATATTTATGATAGTAACAACTCCAAATCATTTTTTATAGCAATAGTAGTTATGTTAAATATTGAACATTTCTACCTGAAGCTAACAAACTATTTACAGCATTAATAGTTTATTAAAATGTGGCAACATTTTTTTTGCTTAATTAAATTGTATCTGTGACCTCATATTTTATGCTCTATCATCACTATCTATAACTGAAATTAATTATCTGTGTATTTGTTGACTCGGACATTCCTACAACATCTTTTTTAAACATGTTTTTAAGTTTAAAATTATCTCAGTTTATTTATCTTGTGATAATCTTCAACTAAGATTACAAATACAAAATATTATTATATAATGGATACAATAAGCAACTATAGCCAATTTACAAACTATTGTTTTAAAAGACTTTAATATCTCTAAGGATAATTTTAACACTCTCTCAATTAAGTATAAACATCTTCAATAACTTAATATAACAATATCTAATTATCAACTAATCTAAAAAAATAATTTTGAATTACCTAAATAGCTTCATTTTTTTACCAAATAGCAAACATACAAATTAATTTAACTAAATTGATACTAGTTACCAGCTCAAATTCTCTTATATTCTAGCTAAGCAATCTTTTAAATTCTTGTGTCGTTAATTTACTCTTAATAACAAACAATTTAAACAAATCAAATTAATTCAAAATAAAATATTTCAATTAACTTATATTGTTAGTACAAAGAAAATTATAGACAAATAGATTATATTATCAATATATTTATTATCTTAATACTTAATATAGTCTTTTATACATTATATACAACAACCAAATATTTTATTATAATAAAACACAAATCTTATCTTGTTAAATCAATTTCAAATAGTATTATACTAAATATAATAATGGCAATTTAACAGAATTATTGATTTAAGTATTATAAAAGTGTGCTATTTTTATTATAAAAAATATTATTGATATGATTTTATTATGTTTTTATAAAATTTATATCATTTATTTGTTATAAAAAGTCATATTTGTCATTTTGCTTTTTGTTTGGTATTAAAGTAAGGCCTTGCTTGTATTTTTATTAGTAATTTTAAAAATAATAACTACATAGAGGCTATATAGAAATATTACAATTTATACAAGTACAAATAAAAATAAAAATTACATCAAGAATAAAAGCTTAGGCATATTTATCTATAATTTAAATCTACTAGAGTGGTTAAAGACTCACCTAGATTATTATAGATAGGATAAAGTTTAATGTAATACTATATTTAATTCAGTATATATACCAGATACTGATTTTTCTATGAGTCTAGCTCACAGGAGAGCAATTACCTGAATAGGAATATAATTAGTCTGCTGTTTTACATATGCAAGAGTAAGTATAATTTGTATATAGATGGTTAATTCTATTAATAGTTAAGGTTGTATCTTTAGGTTTGAAGTAAGAGTATATTATCTATTGTTGTTTCTTCTAATTAGAGAAATTGATATAGTAAGGCTTTCAAAATTGTTTATATACTTGCTTGTTAATTTTAAGTAATAAGTTCAATAATAATATAGGATGCTTGTTTATATAATATATGAAAGTTTTGAACTGTTTGAATTAAAGTATTTGAAACTAAACCTTTAAGAGTAAGTTCTAGATAATGTGAAGATTGGTGAACTGCTACAAGGTTGAATGCCTCATGTTGTTGTATTTGGTAAATTAGATCTGTTTTTTAATCAGGTGTTAAATTTGTTTGATAGAGTTAGGGTAGTAATTAATCTAAGTATTAATTATATACTGATGTAATATTAGATTAGAGCAGTTGAGTCAGTATAAAGGTAAATCTGATGCTTTACAGTAAAAACAGCTGGTGTATTAAAAGGTAGTAGGATAGAGATTATAATAAAGTAAATGGGTAGATAGTTCTTGAAGTAGTGTTTTGATTTTAAATAATTTAAGTCAATTAAGCTTAAAGTTTGTGATATTATAAGTAGGTTTATGATTATAGTTAAAGTATAGCTATGTTGATCTTTAGTTAATTCTATAGCTAACTTGAAACCATTCTTGATTAGTTGTTAAGATGACTATATTGCCAAAATATGGGCTTTATAGATAGTTTTAATAAAAGGTTGTGTGGTTTGTTTTATAAAAAATTTTTTTTCTTCTCACTATAAAATATAATATAGATTATAAATATTAATATAGTTAAAGTTAAGATATAGGCTAATTATATATTGTTTAGCTAAAGAGTCTGCTAGGTTATTAAAAGTATTGTCTGTATGGGTTTGGACTTTATGAAAAGTTACTTGTAGTTGATAGAATTTCATTATATTAAGAAATATATGTCATTGTGGCCATGTATTAAATTAAAAAGCCTATTTAGATTAAAAGTAGGAGATATAAGTTTATAGTATTTGGAGATAATAGATTGTAAATCTGTATAAATATTAATTGTAGGATTATAAAGAGTTGAAGCAATAGCTAATAAAATAGTAGAGAGCTCTGCTTTATACAAGGATGGCCAGAGCTTAATTTGAGTATTAAATTTAAAACTAATTTGATTATCATTATCAACTTGAACTCAACCTATACCTATTGTACAGTGTTCAGTACTAATGTTGATAACAGATCTATCAGTATAGAAATTAAATAATCTGAAGTTTAACCCTATAAAAAAAATTTAAAATCATATTCAGAATTTACTCAGGTTTTTTTTAAGAAATGAGCATTTTATGTAATAAAAATCTATATGAAACTATTAAATTTTTCTGAATATTTTCAAATTTTCTGAATATTTTCAAAACCTTGTTAATTTCTGATTATGATTTTTATTAAGCAAAAAATTATGATTAGGAAATTAACAATGTTTCGAAAATATTTAGAAAATTTGAAAATATTCAGAAAAATTTAAAGATTTCATATAGATTTTATTATGAAAAATGCTCATCACTTAAAAAAATAATCTGAGCAAATTCTGAATATAATTTTAAAAAATTGTTTATAGAGTAAGTTATTAGTTAATATTTTTACAAGTTTAGCTATCAGTTCTCCTAGATAAAAAATTAATATTACAATTGAGTCTACTACTAGAATAATAGGTGGTGTGGGTAGAATGAGATTTGGTAGTGGGTATTTGATAGCAAAGAAGATTAGGTCTATGTAATTAGCATTAAATTTGAGTTAACTATATATTATTCTGCCAAAAAATTTAGCAGATGTGGTTGTAGATATTTTTAAAATACAAGCTAATTTTATTCTAATTGAGTTGAGGTGGTATTCTGAACAAGGTTTGCAACTAATAGAAAGTAATAGAGAGCAGCTAGTATTGTTAAGATCAAAATCTGCTTGCTAATGTATAATTGAAACTTCTGTAATATCAAAGTATTGTTTACAAATTTTTTCAAAAATAATTTCCTTATTATTAATAGTGATAATTCAAATCTTAGATCTCTTAGAAATAGAGTATAAACTGATAGTAAAGATATTGATTTTTGTAGGCTGATACTAATCAAGTAGTATATAGTTGTATTTGTCTGCAAGAACTATATCTTCTAAAGTACTAAACCACAAAGGTAGTTTATCTTTAGGTATATGTCTGAGTCTAAGTGATAGATATATCTATTCTAATAAGTTTATATTGTTTAAGAGCAAAGCTGCTCCAGACAAAGAATCTTGTGCTTTCTAAATTGTTGTTTAAAAGTATTATATTTAGGATGTTTGTTGAAAATTGTTTCTAGAGATTGTAGATTGTATTATATAGTATAAGGCTATGAAAAATTGGAATTAGCTGTAATATATATATAAAGATGAACAAAAAGTTGTATAATTTTGTAGTTAAGTTAGGATCTATTAGATCTATCAATTATAGGATTAGGGTGTTGCAGTATATTAGTACTAGACTATAGGTTATTCTGAAGTTGTTAAAGCTTAATATAAGTTGTAGTATTTAATAAGTTGAGATTATTAATACATATAAAGAAGTTAAAAGTATAGTGTTATAATTATATATCTCAGATATTACAGATATTATATAGATATGAATTGAGTATAATACTGTTTGGAATGGATCTTGAGAGATGTAATTTGTGTTTAGTAACTATAAAGTATTTTGCTAAAATATTATTATATACAGTGCAGAAAAGTATTATGTTATATAGTCTATATTCTAGAGTTAGAATAATGATAGTATTAATGATATAAGTTATTTGTTTGTCAGTAATTTTTTTTTAATATTAATAGTGAGGCCATGCCTCTAACTTTATTGAATATTTAATTGAGATTCTAATATAAAGCATTAATCTACCTTTAAAATATTATAAAAAGAATAGAAGCTCAAACTAGTTTATTTGTAGCCTAAACCAACCGGAGTAGCTATGGCTCATCTAGATTTAA